AGTTTTTCTTGAATTAACAAAATCTTAAAGAAAAAATGTTAATTTCCTACAAAAAATGCATGCTTCATCCCCATAACTTAGGTGAAGGAGACTCGGTATAGACATAACTCAGAGTATTTCGATATTATTAAGACTTTCAGTTATAGTAAACATAGCCTAATTGCATCAATTTGATGGTTATTTCATTTTTAGGAAGAACTAGCCACACTCGAGTCTTTGGATTCGGGTGCAGTTTACACTTTGGCACTGAAAACACATGTAGGAATGTCTATTGATGTGTGGAGATACATGGCTGGATGGTGCGACAAAATTGAGGTATTTTTATGATCTTAGGACGAACATTTATCTACAATTAAGCGTTTTTTGAACAATTTCATAGCTTTCCACAATTTGTACTTTTTCAAAGAGAATACGCTAGCTGTCAAATATGCAAAGTTTTCTCACAAATCGCATGATTGCTGTCAATTCTCGTTATCTCCTTTCTTATCACTTGATATATGCATCTTCATTTACAGGGTAGCACAATCCCAATTTCCAATGCCCGCCCTAATTACAATCTTACCGTTACTAAGAGGGAACCGATAGGAGTAGTTGGCCTGATCACACCATGGAACTATCCACTTATGATGCTTTCATGGAAAATGTCTGCTTGTTTGGCAGCTGGAAACACAGTAGTACACAAGCCAGCTGGGGTAGGTTTTCTATAATCTTCCCAGTTACGATTATATATCGACTAATTGGGCGAAGGAATGAAAGAATCACATGAATGAAATAATTGATTGAATGAATGAATGGAATGACAATGAAGTGAAATGAGATGAAAGGATTGAATATAAATGAATCAATCAATGAATAAATGAATTGACGACTTACCTTCAGGTAACTCCTTTAACAGCTCTGAAGTTCGCTGAACTAGCTGCATTAGCTGGTATTCCTAATGGAGTAGTGAATATCGTAACAGGTTCAGGAGGTAAGAAAGGCGTGATAAGCATTTCATTAAGTTTTTGATATGACATATTTATATTTCAGCTGAGATTGGAAAGGTACTAGCTGAGCATCCAGATGTCAGAAAGGTTGGCTTTACCGGCTCGACCGAAGTAGGCGCGGAAGTAATGACCAGGTAAAAATTTTTGGGTATAGCTCTTTAGTTTTTAGAAATGGTTTTCGAACTAAAACTATTTTTTTAAAAAGTAGTGGCGTAGAATTTTGAATGCCCTTCTTTAACCTTACTGCCATAATTGCAGTTGTGCTCGATCAAATATCAAAAAGGTATCATTGGAATTGGGAGGAAAGTCTCCCCTAATCATCTTTGCCGATTGCGATATCGACCGCGCCGTCAAGCAAACCTGCAACGCCGTCAGTGCACATTTTTTTTGTACTTGCTTGCCTTTTAAAAACTGACAAATTTTAAGGTTTTCTTCAACAAAGGAGAGAACTGCATTGCGGCTGGTCGAGTTTTTGTTGCTGATAGCATTCATGATAGTTTCCTGAGAAAGTTAGTTGATGAAACCAAGAAGGTTGGTTTATAAAATATGTGGGAACATGTTGTGAAGCTTACTAGATTTTTTAAATCAATTTCAATATTTAGTATGTTATTGGTGATCCTCTTGATCGATCAACTGCCCATGGACCTCAAAATCACAAGGCTCATTTGAACAAACTGCTTGAATATGTGCAGAAATCAAGAGAAGGTGGAGCTAAGGTAAGAAATACCACGTTTTTCAAATACCTGGAATTTTACTGAGCAGTTAGCTATTAAG